GGCCATGGTTACATCAATCACATGTCAATGATGTTGAAGAAAAGCAAAAGGGACCATAATTAAATCCCTATTTGCCAATCCTCCCTCCCAAAAAGGACTTGATGAGAGGGCAGTGAACACAACTGGTGGTGCTTGGGAGAGTTCCTTTGAGAATCAATGTGGTCACAATGTCCAACTTTATTACCTGCCTCAGGAAACAGTGAAAGGTCGGGCAGCATTATCGCCTAAAAAGCCAGCATATGTGGCCTGATTTCTACATAATTTTACACCCATAATTGATCAGACATCACCAGCAAATAGTATTCAAGATGCCAAAGTTGTGGTTGATTTTGGCATATTGGATCGTCTGCTTCGGGACACAGGGTACATCCGAGCTAAAGTTGAGGGGACTGGAATTGACATATTTTGGCCATTTCAGTAGTCGCATTTGGATCACAGCACTGAATGATGGTGACCAAGAGAGTTTGTTAAGGACAGGTGAAATTCTAGTTATCAGCACTTAGAAAGAGTGGAGGAGAAATATACACGAACACATTTGCAAATGCAAAACGGGTGATTTCTTAAGCAATTGTGAGCTTGGATTTTCACTTTGATGTAACATATTATTCTTTGGGATAGTTCGTAGGCCAGTGTAGTGAAAACATGTTACCCTTTTCACTTTTTGTTAATAACTAGCTCCTTGTAAATTCCAGAATGACGCTGATTATTTTGGTAATATAGTCGCGGTGAAATGGTCGTATCCCAGGAAGAATTGTTCCTGGAATCTGAGTCCTTGTATTTTCGATTTTGACGAGAAGATGCAAAACTCTCAAGGTACAACTTTAAAACAAACGCCAAATGACAGAGTCTGATGTAAAGTAAAAATAATATTGTAAAAAGAAAAATAGAAAAACCCACTCGCGGAAGCAGTACATATTTGCATTGCATGTGGTGGCAGTGGCAATTCGATTGCCCATGACGAGACGACGACACGAGTAGACTTGTTGCATGTGACTCAAACTTTAAAAATATGGGAGATAAAACCGCTGATGGGTCTTTGATTTTCTCTTATTAAAACAAAATTTATTTTCTTTTCCAAGGGAAAAGGGACCACAATCCGTTTCATGTTTCAATTAAATAACGCCTCTGCATCTCACAGGCACAGCAATCTTGACCCGACAAAAACAAGACCGCCTTTCCTTTTCTTCCTTGAGTTTTATAATTGGGTTAAATCGGAGCCACAAGCAAATGAAGCCATCATTTGCTATTTGTGATGTTAAGATTAATTCCATTTTCTTTTTCTTTTTCTTTTTTTTTTTAAAGAAAAAGAAAAAGAAAAAGAAAAACAAATTTGGAACCCACTTCCTCGAAAGGCGACGTCGATATGGCTGTCGGGGGTAGGCTTATTGATTAGGTAAATAATGTGGAAAATTATGGAATCTGAAGCATATGATACGAGTATGGGACAGGCTGGGAAGGTCTTGCCCCTTTCATGTCCAATTGTCCATGATGCTGCTCCTCCTCCTTCTCCTAAGCAAAATGAAAACTTTGTGGGCACATTAACAAAACAAGAGCAAATATTAATTAATAAAATGCGCTGAAAATGACGGCTTCTTAATGAAAGCTCCCCCAGCGTCCAAACCATGTGAGGATGCGCATTCGTCGTCACGCTGTGTGCTTGTTGGAGCTTCTAGTGAACTGAAATTGACCAAAGTAAGTAAGGTCGGCGGACCCCCTTTGAGCCTTTAGCCTTTTGGTCTGGTTTGGCCCTCTCGTCTCCCTGTTTTTCTAAGTGCTTTTTTTTTATTTATAATGTTTCTAAAATTAGAAATCAAAATTCAAAAAGTAAGTGCAAGTGTGTGTGTGGATAATGGATTATGTGCGAGGGGAGCACAACTTTGGGCCACTTTTAGTCCGATCGCGCACATCGCAGGTTTGTGAATCCCGTGACATTAATTAACAAAGAAAGAAACCCAAAACTCTGGAAATACAAAACAAACAAACTGGGGTCTCTCTCTCAACTCTTGTCTACTTACACACTTTTTATTTTATCCCATGGGGCATGTGGGGGGAAGCTTGTCAGTCCAATACACCACACATTTACAATTCAATATCCTTCTATCAATCTCATTAAACATATTGGGTTCCTTGTCACATAGATCTATCTGTAATTTACTTGTGGGTTAAAATAAGTGCTAGCATCAATTGTTCATACGGCGCGTTCTAAATTAAAGCAAGTATTAGCATCAGTTGTTCAAACGCACGCACGTACGCGAGTGACTATAATGATAACCCTTCCTCTTTTTTCCTTTTTGATCAAAATATATGTACGATGATGGAGGCGTGTACAACAAAGGAAGGAATGGGCTGGGTTCAAGTGACAAGTGGAGCCCTCTATTGAAAATGATTGGTGAAGAGTGGAGTGGAGAGTAGTATTTTTCATATTTGATGTGGAACAACTCAAAACAATATTCCCAAACCCAGTAGAGTAGCCCAGCTGGATTATTCTAGCCTGCCTGCCTGCCTGCCTGCGTTTGATCAATTTTTGTTTCTCATTCAAAATATTTATTTTATTCTCCCCCAACCCCCCATCATCCCCAATCCACCCAATTCATTTATTCTGTAAGGTAGGGAAAAAGTCCCAAACCCTACACGCACGGATCATCATCATCATCATTAAACCAACGGACACGGACCACTGCCCCTCACTCTCACTCTCACTCTACACTGTTCCAACCCGCACTCAGCTGTACCTTATTGTTAACATCATCATGTCCTTTACTACTTTATTTAATTAATTTTCTGTTGTCTCTCATTGATTTCAATTTAATTAACTAATTGATTGATTAACATTAACATTAATTAGTCAATCAATTAATTGAAACCTGCATCAGGTGACACCAGTTGAGTTGACGAATTATTTCAGCACCTCAGAAAAAATAAAAAAGAAAAAAGAAAAGCAGTCAGCTTGCTCTTCCTCTCAGCTGGTACTGTACCAACGAAAGTACCAAACTTTAAAGTCTTAATAATGCAGCTTTCTGCATAACACATTATGGATTTGGAAATTACATGCGCCAAACGCTGTTTTCATCTTGGAATTGTTGCGCATAGCCTTGTCTCTTGTTTTTTCTTTTCTTCCCCCCAACTCTTCCTTTTGGGTTGAGTTGGGTTGGATTTGATATTTCATCATCAAATTTCTGTCCCTTTCTTCTTCTTCTTTTTCGTCATTGTAAATCTGAATTGTTAGCTCATGAGTCATAACTGTTGTGTCTGCTTGCCATCGATGACCCTCTTGTAAAAGTCATCATGGCCGGCCCTTTTGATCACATGAGCGATTAATAAACAAATCCAAAAGGCAACCCGTGTGTGCTGTGTGCTCTGGTTCAACGGCAATGAGTGCAAATTGAGTGCTCTTCGTCTTATCATTTGTTTTGGTCAAATCTGCAATCCAACTTTCTTTCTTTTCTTTTTTCTTTTTAATATGTAGCAATCAAATACTGAGATTATACACAACCACCAATGTCATAAATCTCTCCATTCACAATATACGAATCCCCCTGCCACCCTGTTTCACAAATCATTAGTTGAATTCACATGTCAAAATAAATGTTCTCATTTTGCAAGTCATGATTTTCATATCTATTTATTTATTAGAAAAGCATTCGTACCATATAGCCCAAAAAGATGGGAAAAAAGACAAATCAAGTGCTCTAATTCCAAGTGGTGAGAGTAGGTAGGAAAATGAATTCAGGATTAAAATTGGTCCAACAAAATGAAGAAATTTGAACATTTAGACTGTAAAATTAGAAAGTCTTAACTGTTACCGTTATGAGCCCCTGATAAAGTGACAGATAATATGAAACCGACTCATATACATTTTCTCATTTTTAATATATTAGTTGACAACAGTTTCTCCAATGTCAAATTATAAAAACATAAAATATCATGAAATAAAGTCACATTAAAAAAAGAAGCATTATGAAAGAAAAGTAGGGAGAAAGGGAATCAATGAATCATCAATGATAATATACCGCAATTAAAGAAGATCCCCAGGGCCAATTCCGGTATAAAAGTCCCATCCTTTTTCATTTAATTTTCCTATTTATTTGTACCTCTGGAGCTCTCCAGTCTCTCAACCCAACCGCATCTGAGAAAACCAAAAAATAAAAACATCTTCAAATCTCATCCTTTTTCTGCTGACACATCTTCAAATCTCTCTTTGACCGTCGTACTACTATACACACACGTCTCTCTCTCTCTCCTCTCTGTAAAATGGAAATATTATAAATAAATAAAAAATATGTTTATAAGGCGTCTAAGTTGGTTTTTGTGAGTTTCTTTTGGGTTTTCTCCCATCATCATCCCTCGCCTTTTCGCCGCTGTTGCAGAGAAAAAACTATCTGTGTGAGAAAAGAGAGAGAGAGACTGAGATAGAGTCATCCTTTTCTCTCTCACTTTTTTCTCTGCCACTGCAAAAGCCTATTCATTTCATTTCGTGGATTGATTAATACAAAACCTTCTTCTATCTAAGTGTCTCATTTATCTTCTTCTTCTTCTTCTTGTTATAATTAAACACTCTCTCTCTCTCTCGCACGCACTACCTGTTTGTGCAAATTTCCAAAAGCTCTGATCCGACGGCCACGATCTTCTCGTCCTCCATTCGTACGGCTATCTCTCCTTTATTTCTACGTAAGTATCTCTCCCTCAAATACATGCCTTTTTATTTTTATCAACCTTTCTCTCTCTTTTCAGTCTTTCGGTCCTACGGTACCCATTTATCTTTGTATACTCTATATACACACACACTAACACTCATATACGTATACTGAGATACGTACTTGGGTATTTATATATATCACTGTATATATACTGTTTCTGTGTTGTTTTCATTTATGTATATATATAAATCTTGTCCCGCTCGGCATATTGGTTTTTGTTTGTGATTCGTTTCATTTCATTTCATTCATTCAAAATTACGAATTTTTGTTTCTTTTAGAAAACAAAATTTAAAAATACGCCAATTTTCAGATTTTTGCTTTTGTTTCAAAATCTGACACAATCTTTGATTATTTCCAACATGCAATGATTTTAACTTCGAATTATATGACTTCTTGCACTGGTATGGGGGCGCTCGATTTCAAGCACTGATATCCGATTTACTTTTACTATAGAAATGTATTCATGGTATTTGTTTTTTACATTTGGCTTACTGAGTGTGTTTACTGCTTGGTAAGCACATGATCAGCGTGTGTTTTTATAGATGTTAAAGCCTTAACTTCGAAATTTCTTGATGGGAACTTTTGGCTACTGTTGTCCGCAGCTAAATTTGATTTTGTATACATGTGTGCTGGTATATACCTGATTAGATTTTATGTTTGGTCTTGGTGGTATGGGTTTTGGTTAAGTATTGAGTTTTGTCTTTTCATTGGGTATAGTATACTGTTAATTCCTTTCACAGTGTGCATAATTATGAATGCGTTTCTGTTCTATGATATGTAGAAGCTTCTTTTGTTTACTGGGGGTACAAAACTAGGTTAAGAATTTTGAGTATAGGGATTAGGTTTAAGAGTCTTGGACCCTAAGCACATACAGGTTAAGTGTGGGAAATAATTTTTAATGGGCTTGTTTTAGTTTGAATTATTAGAGCAAAACAGATGCTTGCTTACTTAACTCACATACCCTTTGACTATGGGCAAATCAGGCTACGGATGGTTGGTCATTAGGGATTATTGTATATTTTGATTTTTCAAGGTTTCCACTGTGTACATTACTTTCTGAATTTCCAATAAGATAGTAAAAATTTTATGTGGAAGGAGATAGTTACTTTATACAGGATGATGGTGTTGGATGTTTATAACCTGTAAGACAACCTATAGGACAACCTGTAGGGACTGTACCTTTATGTAGGGCGAGATGCATCAAATTGTGGCTGACTAGATTTTCCATTTCTTTATGAAATCTATGTCTCAAACATGTAGGACTCAGTGGTTTTGTTTTGTGGGAATCGAATATGTGCTTTGTAACATTGACAGCGTTGCAAGGAATAAAATTATCTGGAATGGGGCCGTTATGAAATGGGGTATTAAAACTTTCTGTATTGGTCTTTACTTTTCAGATTTTCATTAACCACCGCTAAATTTTTCTCTCTTGTAAACTTATGTTACATCAATGGCGGTCATCTTATGTGAGGACCATATTTTTGAGGATGCAGATTCCACATGATACTACCTTTTTAAAGATAACTTGTTAACTTGATGATCATGGAACTAGTTCATGCATACATGTTATGAGTTGGTCATGAATGATATACTTTTTGGTAACATTATGAAAAGCTTATGTTGGTGTTCTTATCATGTTAGTTGGCTTTTAGTAGTTTGCTGATTGTCTTTCATTTTATGATGCAAATCATTTCCTGTTAACAATATATTTGAACTTTTGCAATTTGTATCACTTAGTTTTTCTGATTTGATTATGTATTTTCAGCATCATTATTGGGTTCTTTCTTATAAGAACGATATTTTAGGGACGTGGTAGGAAAATGAGGTTTTGTTAAATTAACTGCATGCAATGGACTTCTTTTCCATGCTTTAACCTTATGCTAAGTTTTCTCCATCCTGGTCTTAGATTTTTCTGGCAGGCTTAAGAAAACTGACTCATTATTTGGTATTTATAATCATGAGAATTATATGCCGCACTATTGGATATATTTGTGTCTACCTTTGACACGCTTTTGACACACTGTTATTTTCCCTATTACATTTCAGTGGTCTCATTTTCTTTTTGTTTCTTTAATTTGTAATTAATATAAGGTGGAAAATCAGGGATGATCTTGCCAAAACAATAACCTTACCTTATCTTTTGTTTTATTATCTGTAGCGAGCAAATATCGTCCTTGTACTGGAGGCCGATGGAAACTAATGGTCATAGGAGAGTGAGGAGAAAGGATAATTGTGTTCAAGAAAATGGGGACACAAGTCAGTCAAATGCCGCTGATGAACTAGATCCATGGACTGCATGGGCATACAGGCCTCGGACCATTTCAATGTTACTTATTGGCGCATGTTTTCTTATGTGAGTGCTCCTTCCACTAAGTAGATCCTCCCTATCAATAGTTGGCTTACCATTGATTTTAGGCTCCCTGCCAAGCCATTGGCATCAGATGGTTTTTGTGAATGTCACACCATATTCCCATGGCTTTCGATTCTCGACTTCTTTCAGTTGTTGTATAAACTACAAAGGCGGTTGAATTGTTAGATATCATGTTTGTGTGGTTGCATTAACATACCAAAGTGTCAGTTCAATGACTTAGGTGATGCAATTATGCTGTTAGTTCCTTCTATTAGGCCTTACAGGATTTATTTTTCAAAGCAAATGGGATATTTTATGATTTTGTAATCTCATTTTCAGGTTTAACAACAAATTTTTCTAGTTATTTGGTGAATTTTCTGTTATGCACAACAGATGACTGTAGCAACTGTTCAAAATGAACATGCCTTACCCCTATGTGGAGGCTTGTAGCCTCCAGTGGTAGAGCATTTACCCTCACCTCTCAGACCTTAGGTCTCCTTTGAACCCGAAAAAGGGGTAGCATGCCTTAGATGAGCTTATACTCTACTGCTGCAGTGTTGACACAATGATGATCTATGTTTGTATTTTTTTAAAATCTTGAAGTATTAAGAGATAACCAATTACTGCCATGTCTTGTTGTTTGTTTGAATTTCCTTCCAGTTGGGTAAGTGGAGCCCTAGATCCAGAAAGCAGTGCATCTGGAGATCTTGTTACATCTGTAAAAAGGTTTGCTCTTCGTTTCTAAATTTGTTGATTAGTTTGACAGTATACTCTTATTGGTTTTTCGGAATTCGTTAATCACCATGCCTACCCTTTCCCGCAGGGGTGTATGGGCAATGATTGCAGTTTTTCTTGCTTATTGCTTGCTGCAAGCCCCATCTACGTAAGTGAGGATTGAGTTAGTTGTGAATTTTGTTTTCATCTCTTTTTTGGACTCTTGTCAGTAGGCTGTAATCTTTATATTAGTGGTTCAACACTTTAATAATCGGAATGGGATATTGACATTTTTCTCTAGTCAGTGAATATAACTGTTACTATTAGTTTTAGTTCCTTTTGTCACTTCAACTTGGGAGTCCACTGACTGATACATGGTAGATTGGAACATCTTTAGGGGAAAGATTTTGGGGGATTGTGGGAAACCCAGATGTCTTGTTTTTCTTGGTGACTAGATATCTTTACCTTTTCTTCTTCGTTTTTCTTATATGCAAGTACTTCTTTTGCTACTAGCATTTACACTACAGTAATACTGGTGTGAGATTGTTAGCTTTATGCTCTATTATATTTCATGCAGGGTTCTTATCAGACCTCATCCGGCAATTTGGCGCTTGGTTCATGGGATGGCTGTTGTTTACCTTGTTGCTCTCACATTTTTGCTTTTCCAGGTCGGTTTTTTTTCTCTTCTTTTCTCTTCTTTTAGTATTATTTTTGTGAATTTTCTGCGTGTCTGTGTATGCATATATTTATGTTTGTTCTGTTTGTTGGAAGTTCATTTGCTCTGCCTATATGTTTTGTTATTTTGTTCCCTTAACAAATTCAAGTTTCTCCACTGCTGCTAGTTTTTTTCTTTCCTCTAAAAGACTAATTTTATTCTCTAGGAAACTTTTCTTTTGAACTCTACGTTATGAATTGTTCTAATGTCTAAATTCTTGTGATAGCTAATGTTTAGTTTCTCACTTAACAGAAGCGTGATGATGCTCGGCAGTTTATGAAGTTTCTCCATCCTGATCTTGGTGTTGGTAATGCAATTCATTTTTTCTTTCAAATTTTTTCTTTCAAATTTTTTTTTGAAATTTTTTAATATTAAAATATAGCTGATAAGTGTCCTTTCTGAAGTGGGTGTGGGTAATGCAATTCCTTTTTCCAAATGTTTAATTTGGAATTTAGCTGATTAGGGAAATTTTATCATGAAGTTTGTTAAGCTTAGATTTGCGAAACTTTTTATACTCAAATAGCATAATCAAGGTATTCATTTTTTGTTTGTATTTCTTGATTTCATACAGAACTTCCAGAAAGATCTTATGGTGCTGATTGTCGCATATATTTGCCTGAAAATCCTAAAAGCAGGTTTAAGAATGTTTATGTATGATTTCTTCTTTCACACTATCTATTTTAATTGTTTCTGATATACTGTATTGTTCTAAATCTACATCAGTAGAGTATCACGGGTTACACAGTCTTCTGATATTTCTTTCTCCTCTCTCCCTAGGAAACACTTTTTGATGAATTTGTTGTAGCTCATATAGTTGGGTGGTGGGGAAAGGCTATACTGATCCGTAATCAGCCCCTTCTGTGGGTGCTTTCCATTGGATTTGAGTTGATGGAGGTTAGTTGCTTGACTTTATACCTAATTTTATGTATGCTTAAGTGGTTGCCTTGAGTGTAATATAAAGCTTATTTGGCATGTTCAGCTTACCTTCCGCCACATGTTACCAAATTTCAATGAATGCTGGTGGGACAGTATTATTCTTGACATTTTGATCTGCAACTGGTTTGGTGAGAGCTCTCTTTACATTATCAATATTGGCCTTCTCTTGCTAAGTTATAGCATAATATCTTGGCATAGGAGTTCTTTTGTCTCTCCCATTTTATTTGTCATTTATTTTTATTTATCTTTTTGGTATCATTATTGTCCTTCCAAAAACTTTTGCTGACAACTCAGACTGTCCTTGGGATTCAACAAGTTGAATTGCTTTATCTTTTTGGTATCATTAATTACCTTCCAAAAACTTTTGCTGGCAATTCAGACTGTTCTTGGGATTCAACAAGTTGAATTGCTGGGCTGGAACTCTTTTGGATTTTATTTCTATAACTTGATCGCGTATTCCAATCAGAGACAGAGGTTGTTGTATTCTCTGTTTCTTATTGAATTTGTTAAGAACTTTGAGAGCACAAGTTGCTTATTACGCAAACATTTGCATGATGGGATCTTGTGTTTGTATTCATGATTTGCCACCATGAGTTTTGCATGATGGGATCTTGTGTTTGTATTCATGATTTGCCACCATGAGTGTAACAATATAGTCTGTGGTTACTGTTATTAGTTCTAACAGTTTTGTGTGCAAGTTAATATCTACAAATAATTGTTGTGGCCTCCTGTGATTAGTTCTGTTTGGTGTTCTCGGCAGGTATCTGGGCAGGAATGCATACAGTTAGATACTTTGATGGAAAAACATACAAGTGGGTTGGTCTAAGCCGACAGCCTAATATTATTGGAAAAGTAAGTTTTGAAATTGAATTACACATTTTGGTTGACCAAGGATGCACTCTTTTTGCCAATTGGCTTAAGGAAAAATTTCACTTTTTAACTTGTAATAAATTGAAAGTAATAGTAAGTGTCTCTGTTGCAATTTATGCAGTCGGTAACATGTTCCCTCTTTTTTAGATACTGCAATCATAATAAATAGTTACCATGGTCTTTAATAAAATAGTGGGAATTGTTTACTGTAATATTGTGGAGTAACAACCACTTAATTGTCTTTATGAGGTAAGCAGGAACTCATATGATTCCTGTCCTTTCTGTAGAAGGATATTATCCTTGTTGGTGTTCTGGACGTTTTTATTCACAAGTTGTGATTTGGGAGATGCGATCTTTATGGTTTCAGGTCAAACGAACACTGGGACAATTTACACCAGCTCAGTGGGACAAAGATGAATGGCATCCCTTGCTTGGTCCATGGCGTTTCATTCAAGTCCTCACTCTTTGCATTGTATTCATGACTGTAGAGCTCAATACTTTCTTTCTTAAGTTCTGTCTATGGATTCCGCCGCGGAACCCCTTGATTGTGTATAGGTTGATCTTGTGGTGGCTAATTGCAATTCCAACAATTCGCGAGTACAATTCATACCTTCAAGATCGGTACTCTCTCTCTCTCTCTCTCTCACACACACACACACACGCACGCCTGTATTTCAATGGAAATTTATTTGCGGTGACATGTAGTTGACTGCTTACCTTTTGGTTTGATTACTGTATTTGCAGAACACCAGTGAAGAAGGTTGGGGCATTTTGTTGGCTTTCCGTAGCTATTTGCATTATTGAACTTCTGATTTGCATAAAGTTTGGACATGGTATGTTGTCTTTTTTCTTGGTACATACTTGGTTTTAGTCACAATAAGTACCTCATCTTTTTCTTCTTATTAATTTTGCTCAGGATTGTATCCTAAACCAATGCCACTATGGATGGTAACGTTTTGGATGTCTGCTGGAGTGGCCCTTGTATTATTTTTGATTGTTTGGTCGTGGCAACTGCATCGAAGTTTAGGGAGAAAGAGGCGATGATTTTACTATAGTGGTACATCATTCTTTGATTGCTTCCTTGCCCTGGTCTCAAGGTTATCGATCCATGTTGTAAATATTTATCACCCTTTATTAATTGTACATCCTGATTCTCTTTTAGATTAGCGGATCACAGTTCCTTGAGTAGAGAATATTTATTCTTTCTTGCTAGCCAGGCTGTTGCAAATACTTTTAAGGCTCGGAAATTACTGGTTTGCCACTATTACTGGCAGGGTTTTTCCGAGTCTGAGGATGAGCCATTTTGAACTACAAATTCCTTTATGTTGTAATGTTTAGATTTTTTATTTTATGGGTTATAACTTATAAAATTGTCAGTAAAAGATTTCATATATGTAATAATGTACCAAATGACAATGGAAGCTTTCATTCTACACTTTTAAATGATGGAATTACTATTAACTTTTACCAAATAATATGACAACAATGGCTATACAGTTCCATACCAAACGACTAATTTTAATAATTCCCTGTTTGGTCCCTTTACCTATGAAGCTAAGCTAATGTTCATTTTTCACATTCATCATCTCCGCACATTACACTTATTTCACTCTGTAGAATACACGATGCTTCTTGTGTTCTTCTGTTACCCTTTTCTGGGAACTTGCCATTTACACCTCTGGCTCGTTTATTAGGATCTTCAGTCAGCTTCCCAACAATGAAAGATCCTTGGGGGTTTAGAGCGTGCCCACAGCATGCCTTTTTACCATTCAAACCCTAAATCCTTTTAGGCAGAGGACGAGTCAATGATGTTCACAGATTGGACAAGCTTCTAAACCCCTTTGTATTATACAATATTTGCTACATAGAAGAAAATGGGGTGGTTGGTGATTTTTTCTTCCATGTAGTTCGTCCTCTAACTATCTCTTCATTTTTAGTCTCCCCATTGATTTGGAGGAGATGTGTATACCTCAATGGCTGCTTCTCAAACCCTAGGAACCCACCACCCTCGAGAATTCCAGCTGCCAAAGAAAACCCATTCATTAAATTCATGTCACGGTTCTCTTGTTGTTTCAGTCCCTCTATAAGCATTCCTTCTTCATCTGGATCACAAAGTGATTGAACTATATCTGAATTCCCACATTCCCTTCTGTATTCTAGTATGATGCCAGACAGTTGGTGGGACTCCAAAATATGGTCCGGAACGGTCTGTCCAAAACAGAGATGTACCTAAATTAATTAATAATGAAAAAAAAGAACTTGATCAGGCTGATATTGGTTATATGTACCTCAAGCATCCATCTAACATACTTCACATTGTTGACATGCTGGTTCATGTCCAAATCACTTCTCTTGGGCTACACAAATTAATAAGAAAAATAGCATATTCAGCATATGCTTAAATTCTTTTAACTGTACATATGGATGTGCTTGATATGTTACCTTCAAGTCTCTGTTCACATACTTAGCCTTGTTGTCCAACTTGACAATTTTCTCAGGGACATCATCTGCGATGGCCTGTTTCCCTATAAACCAAGGTGCAATCTCAGCCCTCACCTCTTCTGGCATTTTCGAGAGGCGCCTTGTTTTCCGGTTCATCATCACCCAAGTGCTGTTCCATGTTTTGGACAAGCAAAATATCAATGATGAGACTGAGATATAATCATTCATAAGGTAAAGGAGATGGAAGTGATGTCAAGTTTGAAGAAATTATTTGATACCTGGTTGCCCGAGCAAAAACTTGGCCTGTGGCTTGGCTTCGGATTAACCAGTCACGCTTCATACCATTCTTCCCTGATGCTCTTACCCAAGTGTCAATTTCCAGTACCTCTCCCCTGCATATTTTACTTCAAATTAGTTTCATGCTATAAAGTTGGTAGCAAATTAATAGAGATCAACTTCAGTATTGCTTCAGTTTTTTTCATAAATTTGATGGTTAGTTGGAGTTACCAGATTCCATACTGATCAATTTGAACTTGCATTCTGGAGACAACCCAAATAAGATCATTCTTCATCATTCCATGGGTTGCTCCAAATCCATCACTGAGGAGTCCAGACATCCACACATGATTCAAAGCTGTTTCCTGCGTACCCAAAGTTATGTAATTCTAGCTAATTCTGAGAAATATGAAACCGGACTTGAAAGTTGGTTTAATTTATCACCTGAAGAAGATTGAGGATGCTCTCCAATGTTGCAGTTTTATCAGGACCGACCTCATAGGACCGAACAACAACCCTCTGTCTGTACCCTATGCCCCCTTCAATGGTGATCCCTTGTCGAAAATGATCGACAGACTGCTTCGTTGTCGGGATGTTTTGTCGAACTTTCTGTTCAGTCATGTAGCCATTTGCAGTAACAGAAGCAACAGAAGTGAAAGTGGTTGTCACTCCAGCCTCAACCTGCTTGGTTGTGGACTTGGTAGAAGTTCCATTAATCTTGATGTTATTCAGCTTTTGCTTATTCGGGTCGTAGCTATCCCTATTGGAAGAGCACCTTACAGGAAAGTAGGCCAGATATGAGAAGGTGGCCATTTCTATTTTCCTTTTAGTTGGGTAGAAAGGTTGAAACTGAGAAATGGGGAATGAGATGTTTAAATAGTTTCCAAACGACGGAGCTGTCGAAAGATAAGTTAAAAAAGTTAAGGGGACAAAAAGAGGGAACCTTGTTATAGGAGTTGTATATCTCGAAGATTGCCTTGTGTCCATTGAAAGAGAGTGAGTTTTGGAGCTCTAAATTTGAGTTGTGATAACATAGTTATGATCGATTGACAAAGCAGACAAAAGGGTAAGTATTATTTTGTCACATATTATATATGTTTTTTTTTTCTGTCATATGTTGGTAGAGTGAAATGAAATTACAAAGTAAAGCTGGATGTGGTGGTTTTATGGCATGACAGCGGCGTGGTCTTGCAGTATGATCAATAAAAACAAATGTTTCATTCCAAACTTTCTCTAAAAAGACATTAGGCAACCAATAGGCTGGGACTTTGACTGCATGCGCGCTAGAGAACCCAAGTCTTCCTTCCTTCTCAGGAGAGAGAGTGGTTTGGTTTGATTCTTATTTTTGAAAGTTACCTTTGTTTTTTGTCAATGAAAATGGATAACTATTAAAAAGTAAGATGCTGTTTCTGTAATGCTGTAATACAGTAAACTACCACAAAACAAGCAGTAGTTTTCTTTGCCTCCAGAAGTTGATTCTTGGGTCTATTTATGCAGTCATGAAATTGGTTTGTTTCTTTATGCCCAAGCAAACAAAACCCATAAAATATATTGGTTCAGTTTGACTTGTAACGATGACATCATTGTTATTAGTTACCCTAGCAAGAGAGATATACATATAGAAATTCTCCTAAGCGGTGATCCAGACGTTATTATTATGCGGACGTCATGTATTTTCTACTATCCCTACATGTTTTCCTCTTTGTTTACAATAACATTCGCACGATAATAACGTGCAGACATCCGGATGAGAGAATAACTTATATAACTACATATATACATATATATAAGGTTGGGAATGCTTGTCTATGGAAGGGAACAAGAAAGCAACCAAGGGAGGATTATGTTTGTCCATGAAAATGAAAGGGTATCAGAATAAACATATATAATGAGACATACATCATTTCTCTACCTCCGATTTTCTGCTCAACCAATTAGCAAATCTAAGCCCCACCGGTGATTTCCATGTTGATAATGCAAGCATTTTCCTCTGGTCTCATTACACATGCATTGGAGTGAACGATTTCAAATTGGAATTTTTGCACTTTACTTTTCAACATTACGTGGTTAGTTAATTACTAATCACCATTGCTGCAAATGTTTGTACTTTCCATTTACTTTTGGAATAGAGAACGACTGTCTGTCATAATTCCTACTAAACAACAACAAAACTTACACTGCTTTTAAAGTATCGTCTCCCGTACAAAATAATAAAAGACGAAGTGTTAATAAGGTGTAGCTTAGTGGAAAACGACCTTAACTTGCAGGCTAGTGAAAAAGACCTTGATTTGCAAATTAATGATCTCAGGTTTGAACTCATAACACCTTAGTGACAGTGTGAGAAACCACCTCCCTTTATAGTTTAAACTATCACTTCTACTATAAAGAAATAAATAAAGAAGGAAGAAGTTTGGGGTTTTGGGGGTAATCTTTCAAAACCCTATGCCCATTTGTTGAAAGAGAGTTGTTGTGAAGATTTCATTTAACAATGGTAAAAAGAAAAATAGAAAAGTTGATATAGATCCAAATTCCCATTGAGAAGTTGGGTTTAATCCTCGGATTTCGTGACTTTGATACAAGTCCTTTGACTTTTGTGCCACATAGGATTGCATTCCTTTTTAAATATTTTCTGATGTAATTTTAAAAAAAAAATCATTTTTTATTCCGATGTTGCCCCTTATGCCTTGAATTGGGTAATCATAATTTACGTGATAATCTGAAGCCATTTAACACGGTTGTCATTGAATAGAAAAGGAAAATATCGCAAACATATCCCAAAAGTCACGTTGTTACAAACAGTCATTCTCCTTTGAACCCAATCTCTGTAGATTCTTTGCTTCTTCAATGCAGAATTGTTGGGGTTTCAAATTAGGGTTGAATATTACAAATATTATGATAGTTCAATAGTTCACAATTTAACACCAGTTGCAGAACCTGTCTTCCAGGTATTTTTATTGTTTGTAGTTATGGTTGTTATTTTCAATTGGTTTCTGTTATCGTACAAGGTGCGATGTATACCTGATATATAGGTAAAGGGTGGGGAAGGATGCATGTGGTGAAGGTAGTCACCATTTTACTTATACGGGCAATGTTTCTGTGAAACTGTTGTTTGAAGGATCTTCATGGCTGGGAAAGAGTTTGCAGAAATCATGTCTAATTGGCTCCATTTTCAAAATCAAGGATGGCAAAAGCAAGTGGAAAAGAACCTGTCAAATTTAAATGCAAATGTAATTGCTACAAATATATTACATAAACCATTACTGAACAAATACATTTACTACAAACACATAAACGTTTGGTATGTATACTTATTCTACAGGTAATGTTTGTGATACAAAACTGTTGTATAGGTATAGTTGGACATTCTACCTGTTCTATAGACTTAGTTTGGTTCATAATCTTTTTCACTGCAACAGCAAGTAATCTTGAAAAATAAACCTTATAAGCCTAAGGTACAGGTACATCAACCAATACTAATAAACAGGAAGAAAAAAACACAATCAAATTTTACGTACAAACAACAAACATAAAAAATAAACCTTTCCTTGCAAACCTTCACTGTAGGTATGTGCCAAGTCAACTATTTTCCACCCCATATTGAACACTCAAACTACCTCCATTATAGACACATGAATCTAACCGAAAAAAAAAAAGTTGAATACTTCATAGCAAACCTAACGGAAAAAAAGAGACTGTAACACAAGTAATTCAATCCTAATTTGGAATTTGTGAAAATCTTCATTAAGGAAGTAAAAAATCAGCAGAGATTGGGATGGAATGACCATGATTATAGGAGACATGCAGATCTTTGGAAGGGGTCGGTTTAATTTGCCTTTTCTATTTAATGGCACTAGAAGTAAATATCATAAAAAGGGATGGACAAAGGCATTCCTTACGTGTCCATTGGATTGTTTGGTGGACTGCTATTGAGGAGCCAAAATTGATGTCCTTCATCCATTGTATCTGAATGAAAATGGACCTATATCAAATAACCCCAAAGAAAAAAGGACAATAATGGTGAAGTTCAATTACCGGGCACGCACATGCGCAAGCCAAGGAGATGCAGACCAACAAACCGGAGTAAATGTTGTACCAGCACAGACTGACACAGACAGCTGTTGGGTCTGCATCAAATCCTGTAATCATTTTCTCCCTGGAAGTGAAAGGTAATGAAAATGGTGCTTGTTGCACTTCCCCTTCCTTACCCATGGGAAAAACCTTAAAGCAATTCTGGGTCTGGTCCTAATCTCAACAAGGACTCGTACAAACAACCCAGGGTCAATAAATAACAGCTTGGAAATGATCAGAGGAGTGCTTGATGTTACAAAAAGCTCAGGATTTTTCTTCAATGGTGTAAAAAATAAGGAATGGATTTCAGAGAGAGTTTTGGTGGCTAGTGAAGTAGTTGAAGGGAAGTTGTGGAAAGAACCAGAGAGGGGAAAAAGAAGGCGTACCTTGAGAGAGCAAGAGGATGGCAGCTAAAGCTTTTGAAGCTGTGGCGCAGAGTGCCATTGCATTTGAGTGGAGAGGGGTTTGGTAAATAGTGGAAGCTCAGAGATGGGTTGTGGGTTGTGGGTTTTAGGTTTTGGGTTTTGAGAGACAGAGAGTGGAAGCAGCCGTTTCTGTTGCCTCTCTATATTCCAGACCCAAGCCCAAACTCAAACTCAAACGCAAACCCAAACCCAAACCCAAACCCCTTAAATCTATACCCACCAAAACATGGTGGATTTTTGTGAGACATGTGTGGACTGTATTAATTTATTTATCGGCCAGAAAAGTGTAAAAATTTGTTTTTACATCATTAAAAATTGATAACAATAATGAATCACTAATGAAACAAATTCTAGAAATCACACGAAGCAGCTAACCAGCCATCAATCCCGTCTCTTCAGCCACTATTTTTGACGATCCATTAATTGTTGAAGAATGGCCTGTCAACACAAACAAAATGATGCCCCCCAATCACTCGACTAGTATAAGATTAATTCAAAGATAATGAAAGAACGAAAAGAAAAAAGAAAAAAAAGACTTTAGGTTCGTTAAGTATTTCAAGAACTTCAGTTCGTTTACAGAATTTTTTTTTTCATCATTAAGATCAAAGGATGATGACATATCATCTAACATGCATATGTCCGAGTTTTGAAGCTACGAACCAAAAAAAAAGCGTTGATAAGTTGAATTATGACCGGATAGTTTTTCTTATTAAATTACTAAGTTGCAAGCACATCCAGACAAGAACTCAAAATTTTCTAGTACTAGTAACTTACGGGACAGGAACCATATGATTTCAGGCCCTGGTGCAGTTCGTGGAATGAGACTAAAAGCTTCACAGGAGTAAACTCAACAGAGTGGTTTTGTCCTCTATTGTCTGTAAAGCCAATCAGTTCACGTTGTAGAAGGTGTTCAAATGCCTGCAGAAGTGAGAAATGAAGTATTGTACAAAAACTGAAACAGCACACTAAGATTTTTTATAAAAACAAATTTTAGCAAGGAGCTATGCATACCCGTAAGCAAACATTTCTTGCAAAATAGTCAGATGTCTTGACCGAATCATGTATGCTTTTGTACTCTGCGACGTATGCCAAACATGTAAGCGAAAACTTAACGACAGCACTTAGAAAAATAAGAATCAGACATTCACCTTTCATTACAGAATTGAAATTGTACGAGTTCTGCTCTTTAATTTCCAACCTCTTCATGCATACCAGAATGTAAAGTTCCAATATGGAGCAATCTGCTTGAAATCATTGATTTTCATAAGAAGAAGAAAAAGAAAAAGAGAGAAGAAGAAGAAGAAGACAGGAACCAGAGATCATTGCTTTGCTTTGCGTCATTTTTAGATACACAAGTTTTCGGCAGGCAGAAACTATGGGTGGAAAAGAAAGCAGATAATGAAGTCCAACAAAGCAAGATATAAATTCTCCGACCTTTTATGCATTCCAACTTTGGATGCCTCTGGATATTTGAAAGTGCAGCTTTAAAGTTTTCTAGTGACAACATTCCAGACTCCAAATCCATATAAGAAACTGCACGGAATCTAGTGTCATGGTCCATGACCAGTATGTTTAGTATATGATGAATGATCGATAGTAAAAGCAAGACCTTCATTCAATTCTTTCAGATTCAAGAAGTGAAACTTACAGATATCTCAACAAATGTTTGACAGTTGAATCAAAATTCAGATATGTACTAATAATCTCTTTAAATCTTTCATCTGCCAATATATTCTGCAAAAAAGTCAGGGACTTTACAATCTCAACGTTCTTATCTGCTAGAATACTTTAAAATGAAATACATATTTCTAAATGACAATATTTCCATGTTATGTCATCAAAAAACATAGTCAGGAAAGGATACTTGAAGTTTTGTGTTGAAAGCAACAGCATAGTCTGGAGGAAAGCTTGAGTCTGTTGGCAATGATAAAATGTGCTCCAACAATCTTCCTCATTTGGAAATTAAGAAAATTAAAAGCAATTACTACACTGGAAGTGCCAATGTTTGGGGCAGAAACAATAATAACACCTGAGCAGTAGTTAGCAATTTTACCGCTGTATGTCTTCGTTAGCAGGAGGAAGAAACAAAAGCTTTCTATGTGAAAAACGAGATCTTACTCTTTTGTCCAAAAGCATGTCAGCATCCTGCATGACAAAGTCCATATTCCTGCTAACATTAGCATTTTCATCACTACTTGGTCTGAGTTGAAGTTTATTAACAATTAATCGGACTAAGGCTATCATTCCACATCTCATTTAGAATTTTATCATTTACAGCTTAAGATCACAGAAATTAAAAAGCAACATACCAGTCGGCAGCTCACACCAATGACGACAGCTTGAGATGTTACTGACTGCATTGCATCAAGCAAACTATAAAGTAACTTCTGTTTTCCCTATAAAGAACCATAAATGAAGAACAACATTACAGTCAGTGTGTTTTACTTTTTATTCTATAATGACAGCCAGAATTCAATTCTTTTGCATGGTCTAGACTTAAAAAATGCATTTGTACGTCATGAATATATGCATTGATGCAAAGTGGGTCAAAATTTATATCAGGCCAGAATCATAACATATTTTGGTAGGTGTCCCAGAAGATCCTCATTAAGTCATACACTTATTACGCCTTAGATGTATATGTTTAGCTTGTAAGTCAGACACGTCTTAACCTGCAATTTCTAGTGTAACTTTCCAACCCCAAATGAGATTTACAAGTTATCTAAAATTTCCATCTCTTCGTAATGCTGTTTCTGCAGTGCCAGACTTTTCTTACTGTTAACTACACAATGTTCTCAACAAGACTACCAGAATCTTCAAAACTTGTTCATTAATAGCTTTTCACACATCTTCACTTTTAGGCATAAAAGTTCTGAGAAACTAGCCCTGTAAAGGAAAGCTTTTAAATGGCCCACTGTCGCTTTTAAACAAATGAAGCGGCCAAAAATACAAAAATGAATGTCAAACTGCAAGACTTCAGCAATGAAAAAACAAGTGGGCACAGGATGATGAGGTCTTACCAGAGCAAACAGGTCAAACTCATCCAAAATAAAAATAATTGTTTTATGTGCTAATCCACACTCCCTAATTATCAGAGAAACAAATCTGTCAGAACTTCTAAACCATTCGACAAGAATCACATCAAGAAAATTTTATACACACCTTAACATGGCTATCATAAACTGGGAGTTATCATCAAATGATGCCTACAAAAGTCAACACAAAATTAAGAAACCATAAATTGTTGGAAGTAAAATCCTTCAAAAGTGGTTTCCGATAAAATTATGCACGTTACCATTCTGGAGAAAACCAACTGATGCTCCATGCATAGCTGTCTAGCAATTTCCTGAATAACCAACAACCATCTTAAACAAAGAAAATAACATTACTGTCTAGAATATCCCGAATGATTTCACAGTTTAAAATCACCATTTATAGTACAATCACTAATATAAAACCGCCACTCCCAGAACATTATTACTTTGGAAAAAGAAGGCTAGATCATCAACCTTAAATGCGCAGTTGTCACTGCTATGCAACAGGCCACTCAACCTAATCTGTAGAACAATGTACATAGAAAATCAAATTACATGTACATTAAACAGAAAAAAAAAACTGAAAAATTCAAAGAAATTATAGAGAAGAAAAGTGAAAAATATAAGCATACCACTGAAATCATATCAGGATATTCCTGTAATAAATCACTGAGCACAAGCTCCAACACCTAGAAGTCGATAAAATAAAATAAAAAGATTAACAGAATGTTACGATTATAATAGGAATTGAAAATAAAAGCCGCAGTTGAAAATTTGGGCATACGGCGATTTTTCCAGAACCACGGGGACCGAGAAGCAGAATGGAGTTGTTACATGCTTCGGTAATGGAACTTGAGACTAAGAATTTCAACTTGCTGCAACAAGAATAAAAACCCTTTATCTTAATTCTTCTATAAAAATAAAAAATAAAAAGTAGAAGAAAATGAAATTAGGGTCACAGAGTATGCTACGAAAGAAAGAGAGGGATCGGAGACCTGTAGTTTGAATCGTCGGAGTGAGAGAGAGCTTTGAAGGCGAAATTAGGGTCACATAGTCTGCTTCGGAGCAGACCTAGGGCTTTCTCTGCCGGAATTTCTCGCGCCATTTCTCAAAGCAAACTCACAGTGAGAAGAAATGAGATGGGAGAAAGGGCGGGAAGGAAAAGCGTTGCCGACATATATGGTAACAAAGGCCGAAGGCCCAAAAAAAGCAGGAGGCCCAAGTCACCATGGGCCCATTCTATAGCCCATTCTACTTCATAGACTACGTCATCGGCTCATAATAGAAATCTAGTTAAGATCCTGCTACAATGCGCCACGGGCTGCAAATCCAAAAATATCGTCCGCCGAGCTGAAGAAAGAAGCACCAGTCATTCATATTGGCTGAGATTTTGATATAAAACGAAAGCTAATACAAACAAGAGGTAGAAGAAGAAGAAGAAGCGAACTTGGAGTGGTATTCTAGGAGAGATGGGAAGCACGAGCTGTGCTTCCATTTCGAACTTGAACTTCATTCGGAGTCGCAGCCACAATTGCTTCCAGCGGATTGGGCCAATCAGAAACCAGCTGGGTTCTGTTCGAGTCCACCATTCGAGGAGACCAAGACTAGAGGTCAATGGTTTGCGGAGCCGGAAGAGCTTACGAAACGACGTAGTCTGCTTCGCTGTTGATGACGATTTGAGAGAGAAGCAGCAAGAGTTTGGCGCTGGGTCTGGGATTGGCTCCGCCGTCGAGGATAGGCCTGCTACTGGTAACAACCAAAATTTCTTAAATTTTCACTAAAAATTATGGTTTAGTTGCTTTATATTCCACAAATTATATAAAGAAATCAAAAAAACATGGTCACTAACTTGCTACTTTGAGAACCCAATATATGTGAAAAAAGGTAAAAACTTAACATGGCTTTTCTTACTAGTTTAGAATAATTTAGTGCTTTCTTTAGGTTTTTTTTTTTCTACTCTCAGAATTTGTGTATATTTAGAAGCAAAACATGCCTTAAATCAGGCTCAGGAGCTTTGTAATACCAGTTAATTTAGCATTATTGGCTGTTTCATGATTCAAGAAGTAATTGGAAATTGAGTGGAAGAAAGTGCTTTCGTAACTACTATAGTGAAGTTTGAGTGGTGATGTTGTCGAATAAATATGAAGTCAATCATAAGGGAACAAAAAAAGTAAATACAGCAAAGAAGCTGATTTTCTCATAGCTTCTTATAGAGTATAATTTGGCCCGTTTTCTAAAACAGTTTGTTTGTACAGGAAGTAGATGTTAATGTCTTTAGTTTGAAGTTGACTTCACCTTTTGCTGTACAATATAGATGTGGTTGATGGCTCGAAAGAAGAGAATGGAAGTGCTATTTACAATTTTCTATATCCTAGTCAAGAGCTCCTCCCGGACGATAAAGAGATGAGTATATTTGATCATCTGGAAGAGCTGCGTCAGAGAATTTTTATATCAGTTCTAGCAGTTGGAGTTTCTATGTTGGGATGCTTTGCATATTCAAAGGAACTTATAATATTTCTCGAAGCTCCTGTTAAAGACCAAGGTGTAAAATTCTTGCAGCTAGCTCCTGGCGAGTTTTTCTTTACTACCTTAAAGGTTAGATTGAGTGAATATCTTTCCTGTCCATGATATATTTAACATGATTGCCGCATGTAAGGTTTTGTTTTTGGAAAGTTAGCCACTGTTGGTTGGGTGCAAATTTGTCTGGCTAACTAGCGCGGAAGTGCAATGGAGTGTTGTAGGAACTTTATGATTTATACTTCCCATCATAATCTCAATGGGAAATGAGAATAACATTTTCTGTATTGCTCCTCTTTTGTTTCCGCTGTTTTCATTTCATTATTTCGGGAGTAAATCAATTAACAAGACAATTCTTTTGACTGTCCACTGCAGGTATCAGGATATTGTGGCCTTCTCTTGGGGAGCCCCATCATTCTGTATGAGCTTATAGCCTTTGTTCTTCCAGGATTAACGAGAGAAGAGAGAAAATTTCTGGGGCCAATTGTTTTGGGCTCATCAGTACTTTTCTACGCTGGTATCAGCTTCTCCTATTTTGTTTTGACACCAGCAGCCTTGAACTTTTTTGTTACATATGCGGAAGGTGTTGTGGAATCGTTGTGGTCAATTGATCAATACTTTGAGTTTGTACTGGTGCTCATGTTCAGCACAGGCTTGTCTTTCCAGGTAAATTAGTCAATGACTCTCTCCTCTTAAGTTCATACTGTCTTTAGGGATGACATTTCTTCATTCTAATCAGCACTTATATTCGTGAGCAATTTATCTTTCAGCCAGAAACATGCCTCTCTCATAAAACTGTGCATAGGTCGACGTGGATATCTCAGAAAACTTTTTTTACAAATGACCTTTCATCTTATTCTACAGGTTCCGGTTATACAATTTCTCCTGGGACAAGTTGGTCTAGTATCAGGAGATCAAATGCTGTCAATTTGGAGGTATGTTGTGGTTGGTGCTGTTGTGGCAGCTGCTGTGGTTACACCATCAACCGATCCACTCACTCAAGTTCTTCTAGCAGCGCCCCTCCTTGCTCTTTACTTTGGGGGTGCCTGGGTTGTTAAGCTTACCAGCCGATGAACCCAGCTTCTTCGATGCATGAAATTTGTTCGCAGTATGGCGCATACTCAAGAGTTTGCAAGGATCTTGTACATTTGCAACATTATGTAACATAAATGTGTTGTCATATGGAACGAGGGTGAATAACCCCGTATTATTGTACAAGAGGTTTATACTGCAAGCGTATAACAGAAACTACCTTTTATCAGTTCACAACTAGGTTGATTTAAATTTTAAAATTCTATAAAGCAAAATAATATTATACTGACAAGAAAATCATTCCGACTTACGAAGCTCTGCAAAATGGATTTCACTCTCTCACTCTACTAATTGTTCAAATCAATTTTCTGCACTCTAGTTTCTAAATCGACAGTACTGGGACAGCCCACTGCAGATTCAAGCTGTCCCAAAGAACTCTTTAAACAATTGCACGCCTGACAAAAAGATTCCAAATTTCCTTTAAGATTCTGTAATTCAGCTTGCATATCATCCACAAAGCTGTAGATTTTCTCTAATGCTGCCTTCATGGTGGGAACCTCTTGAGGGGGATAAAGAGAAGCTCCAAGCTCGTCTATTTGTATTCCGATTCCTTGACACATTCTCAACAATTTCTCCAAGGAATCCACAAGATTACTGCTGTCATTTGGATTTTCACGTTTAAGAAAACTTGTGATCGTGCGAATTAGTTCCTTTATCACTACAAGAGTCTCAGACACAACTGCAATTGCTAACTGAGCAACTCTCATCTCTTCAGGTGACAAATCATTGCCCAGATCACCATCACTTGAAATTTCATCATCCTGGGGTTCAATCTCTGCTTCGATAGAAGACTCATTAGAGGCTTCATCTGTCGGGTCAGAGGAACCTGGCTTAAGCTCCTTCATCTCACGAAGAACATCTTTCATGGAAACTGCAACCTGCGTCATTGCTCGCCCAATTGCTGTGACATTGGTGGCAGGTGTCTTTTTAAGAGCAGAACACGCTTCCCATACTGCACCAGCCAACTGTGGCATTGAGAGTTTCCCATCTTTATTCCGTGCACCTGCAGGTGTGTATTCAAAGTGAAGATAAAACAAGAAGACAAGATTGCCATATTTGTTAAATATTTTAGTGAAGACAACTACACTACCAACTACTATAACATCTAGTCGAGTAGAGCTTAAGACCCTAAAAGTTACAAATTTCGGTCTCATACACAAAACCAAACTCTAGGACCTCAGGTTCATGTACATGAGTGCAGGTGAAAAAGAAAATAGAGATCTGAAGGGATCAAGAAGAAGAAATGCTGCAGAAATATGTCTGGTGGTGAATACAAATCAAATTGCTTCTATCTTCAACCAGAGAGAGAGAGAGAGATTACCATACAACGAGACAGATTCCTTCAACAACTTAAAACTGGAGTCAACAACTTGCTTTACAGATGCATGGACACAGGAAGACAGGGTAGGCCCTGCACCCACTATACTCCCATGTGAAAGCAGAAGAAAACCTTGTAGAATATTGACGTATGAAGCCATGTTTTCTTCAAGGGCTCTAACTTCTGGTGTTTCTCCGCTCCAAAGCATTCCAGCTGCATTATGAAGTCGCAGTTAGTCACTTGAGCATGAGGCACTATGCCACACGGGAGAACTATGCAACTAAATCGCAAATTGAAGCATAGATAGACAAAAACCATAAAAATCAGATCTCCAACAAGGCACTAGATAGTTCCATTGCTCCACTTTTATCATTTTCTTTTATTAATATGGAAAATTTGTTAAGTTGAAGAAACGTATTTCCAAAGTCCAGAAACCTGCCACTGATTGTGTTTATCACTACAACCAGATAAGTCAAAAAGCTCAAATCAAAATTCCTTCAATAATTTTCCTAGATTTAGCCATTCCAAGCTCAAGTTTCCAAATTAACATACTAAGATCATACCAAGCAAAAAAAGATAAAGAAATACCAATGGTAGCTTGTTTGGAGACTTGGTCACCAATCTGCATGACCTTCTCCCAGCTCACCTTCTCGAGTGTAGAAGGTGGAGTTTGATCTAACAACTGTTTTCATTGATTTCAACAAACAAAAGCCACATCACCATCATCACCATCACCAAAATCAAAAAGCAAAAGACTATATTTTCAAACAAAAAACAAAAAAGAATTCCAGGGAGTTGTAAACAGAGAGATCTTAAACCTGAAAGGTCTCGTGGATGGTGTTCAGGTGCTGGTTCAGAGTTCGAGTCAATTGCTCTCTCTCGGCTCTTCCCATCTCTCTGTGTTCGAAGGAATGAATTGCAGAGCTGAACGGCGAGTTCTCACTTCTCAGAGGTTTTTGAGGGCTTTTTTTGGGTTTGGGGTTTTGTAAAGGGGAAAATCTTTGTCACTCGCCGCCGCCAAGTGCCATCGAAATTTGTTTTTTTCTTTTGCTAACTTATCAAAAAAAAATACCCGGAACCCGATTAACGGGCCGCGGCCCGTTTCTGTAAACTGATGCAGATGACGTCACCATTTAACTGGGCTAAATGACTTCTGGCCCGTTATTGGTAAATGGGCCGCTTGGTACACCATGTCTCTCTCTCTCTTTTCTTTTTGGACAAGACAACATTCTAA